ATCTCGCACAAATACACAAGCCTCCTACCCGGGCTTTACCTTTAAGATTAGATCGAAGACTGAGTAGTGTGACCTTTGTGGAATTTCAGTTCCCGTGCAGGCATATGAAATTCTCCACTAAAGTTGACCATACCGCGCAAGCGTATGGAAGATTTGGGGGCCGCTTCYTTCTAGGTTGTGTAGGCATTAATTTTACACTCATTTTAGCATTAGATTTCTGCTATTTATTTATTTGTTTGTTTAGTTTGTTTCCGTTGGTGTTAATAAAGTGATTTGTTTAAAAGAGTCTCATGCATTCTCTCACTTAATAATCGTTATTTTTTTTACAACAATAAAAAAAAGAGTTTCGCAACTTTCCCTTTAAATTTATTTTCTGCCAACTTTACCAAAATTTACCTAAGTCTTAAATCATTAACATTGACAGTAAATTAAAGCATGAGTTCTAGTAAGGCTCCTACCAAAGAGTGGAGAGAGCAAGACCAAGAATTTGTCTATCAATGGTCAAAGAACATGCARCATACTCATAGTGACGCATTATCACAGAATGTAATCATGCCATTTCAAAATGTAACGTTTCCATAAAATCAGTTGGATATCTTGAAACGTTTATGAGAAGGTTTAAGACCAGATAGAAAGACCCAGTTCATAAAAAAAAATATGGCCACATAGCGTAGCTCCTGTACGTACGAGTAAACTTCTTAGTGTTGAGAGCATTAGTTCGACATTGGGATCCGGCCTATAGATGCTTTACTTTTAGCTCAATGGATATAACCCCAACTATCGAGGAATACCACACACTCTTACAAATACCACTGCAAGAGAAAATTGAGGTTTATTCCTATGATGGTGGGTTTACGTTGAAAAGTGCAGGATCGCTGCTTGTAGGGAAGATATCTGCTGGTGAGATTGAAAAACATGTGAAAAGGAAGGGAGAAAACACATGCTTGCCGATAGAATATATCATGAGTCTTCAACAGAGGTTCGTTAATGAAGAAAGAGAGCTATCACTATTAGCTTTGTGCTTATTCAACTTGGTTTTATTCCCTAAAGCTAGTGGGTACGTTGAAGAGCGGGTGATCAAGCTATTTGTCAAGGTAGAGATAGGGGTTAATCTCGTAATACCCATCCTTACAGAAACCTTCCAAGCACTAAATTTTTGCAGATCGCGAGGAGTAGGAAAATTTATAGGCTGTGCTCAGCTGCTATACATTTGGATCCTCAGCCATATAAATTGTCCACCAGAGTTCAAGTGTCCTCAAGTCAAATTTTCAAGATCGTGGAGTAGATTACAAAATCCCATCCTTGAATTCAACCAAGCAGATTGAAGTCAAATCCACCYAGGGAAAGAAGAATGGAGCATTTTCTTCGCAGGACTAATGCCAGAAGACGTGAAGTGGAGGGCCCGATGGATGTCAAACAAACCTATGATGTATAGGYGTGGTAAATTTCACAGTCTACCGTTATTGAGTCCATAKGGATGTGTATCTTATGCTCCATTAATGGTACTGCGCCAGATATGGGTACATCAGCTTATCCCAGCCAYACATGACTTAAGAAACTCTAAATTTGCCTACGATGTTGGGTTTTGCAAAAACAAAATTCAAGAGGTTGTATGTAATATCTTGTATTACCTTTAACAGTATTTTCATGACATTATATTATTAATTTTTTTTTAGGTAAGCTTGTCAAATCTAATTATCTTTATGCCAATAAACTTTAATCAATCATAGTTAATAATTGTAGGCTTCTAATACTCCAACTAATTAAGCTCAAATTAATTTTATTTACTTATTAAAAAGAAATTTACAACAAAATTTAGTGATTCATCTTATCAATGTTTAATTAATTATGTATGTTAATCAAAAATAAATATGCATAAGAGATTAATAAGATTAGCGAGATTAATTGTATTTAAGTAACAAAATTARCAATACTACTTTAGTAATTAGATAAATGTTGTGAAATATGGTAATTGTAATGGTAGCATTATTTGAGTATTTATAAAGTTTCATACATTTTATCCAAAGTTTTATTTTAAGGTAATTAACCAAGTAAAGCCTCATATTACCTTTATTTTACTCTTTATTTTTCTACCTCAATTAAATTAACTTAATTTGGGGAATATAGAAAGTTTTACTTAACTCATAACCATGATTAGGCAATATAACTCACCTKCCACTAACCATGATTAGGCAATATAACCCACCTTCYACCCAAGAGATACATGTAGTAATTAAGTTAGTTAGGAAGACCAAAAAACACTAACAATCYCATTAAGTAATTGGCCATGCATGAGGAGAGAGAAGAAGTTTGTTCCATCTTCCAAGATTCATGTTTGTTTCATCTTCCAAGCCATTCTCCTTAAGTTACCTATGTTTGTTTCATTCATTTTCCACCAAGAACATTTCTAAACAAATCTGAAAATTTCCTCTCAATCATCTATCCTATGTTTTAGCTTGTTTAGTATCAAATTTTGGATTGTTAATTCTGAATTTTTGAAACCATGACCAGCACCTTTAAACTAACCTAAAATGTATTTGAATGTATTAAAATTGATTTTTATGATTAGTTTTACCTACGGTTCAAAATTGTGAAAACTAGTGCTATGTGTTTTCTCTATTTTTTTGTAAATTTGCAAAATCAGTAAATTATTTTTATTGATATTATAGTATATAAATCAGAGGCTAATATGAAGATTTAAAATTACTTTTCACAAATTTATATATATATTTTATGATTATTATGGACTAGGTTAATTATTAAGGGATTTCTACTAGTAGAATAGTGAACATATCTAGTTATGAGAACTTATTGGAGAAAGCTTAGTTTAGGTAATTGAGTCCTAATTTTAGTTGTGTTAATTGTTATTAGGAAGCTTTAAGGAATTTCTTTTAGTTTGCGAAGTCCAGGTAAGTGGATTCTATCATAAGTTACCGTCTTGTATGTTTTGTTGTATTATTGTTTGATTGTAAGTGAATTATGTTATGTGTTGCATTGTTTTGTTATTGAATTATGTTATTCATGTTGCTTAAATATATTTTGTTATTGAATGGTGATGGTGGTTAAATTTTATGTATTACAAAGCATGTTATGATTCTATKGCTTTCTCATGTCATTTTAAGTATGTTTAATAGCAAATCATGTTTAGGTAAAGCATGACATAATGTGTGATGCATTGCATTCGTAGTRAAGTTAGTAGTCTTATGTGTCATATGTTAGGTTGAGGTATGCATTCATATAAGTATGATGTGTGTGTTTGAGCATGAAATGTTCCTTATGATGGGAACTACTTACTGGGTATTTTTTTATACTCATTCCATGTTGTTTCAATTTTTTTACAGATAGTTATATAGTTGACGGGAATAACGTCGA